GAGTATGTTGATACAAAGCATCAATTAGTAGATATTTTTACTAAGTCTCTACCCAAGGATAAATTTTATGATCTTAGAAGAGACTTAGGGATATTAGAAATAGCTTAAATTCTGCTTATTGAGACAGTTTTTGGATGATTGTAATGTTAAAATTCATTATACAGGATGTTAATAGTTTATCATGTGTTAAAACCTCAAAAATTTGATGTACTCTCTGGAATAATCGATTAATTGGGGTTATAATCGATTATTTGCATCCAAAACACTCAAAACAGGACATTCCTCTCTGGATTAATCGATTAATTCACCAATTAATCGATTAAATACAGAATTAATCGATTAACTGCACAATTTAATCGATTAAATGATTCTGGCACTGGTTTAATCGATTAATCTGAGTTTTAATCGATTGAACCTGGCAAGTTTGGCTTCCTAGCCGTTGCCAACGGATCTCTTGACCTATATTCACTTCTATATGACCGTTGGACATGCTTGATTATAAATAGGGACCTCCAATTCACTTTTACTCACTTCTATCTCTTGAAATCAAGCTTTCTTGTCTTATTCTAGCATTATTGCCCTCTTCTCACTACACTTAGCTTTCAAAATCTTCTTGTTATTCCTCCAATCTTTCAATGACCTCATCTTCTCGTGCTAAGATCCCTACTAGAAGAAGATCTGCACCCTCATCTCGTCCCCGTCCTAATTCTGTAGAAGGATGGATTTCTGATACAAATGGCCAACAAGAATTTCTGACCTACTGGAAGGAACGTGCTATTATTTCTCCTAAGTTTCTTATTGGTGAGCAATTCATCAATAGGGGATTCAATTTTCCCAACCTTCTTGAAATTCAAGGAGTTCTTCCCTTCATCCAAATGCAAGGTACGTATTATCCTGACCTTGTTAGGGTATTTTACTCTAGATTTAAATTTCGAGATCAAATTGCTACCTCTAGAGTAAAAGGCGTCACAATTATTCTTGACGATGATATTTGGGAGAACGTTGTCCACTTTCCAATTAGAGAAGATGTTATTAACATTTATGGTGAGCTAGATGATTTTGACAGGTTCTTAGCTTACCGTTCTTTTCTGCGAAATCCCTCCATGGAGATTGGGCGTCTCCTTCTTGCTGGACCTCTAAAGAAGGAGGAACGCATGATTCTACATCTAATTGTCTGGATCCTCTGTCCCTGGGCTACAAATCATGCTCAATGTTCTTCAATTTATCTTAGGATTATTCATGCCATAATGAATAATGAGCCCTTAGATTGGGGCGTTCTTGTCACCATGACTATGTTAAAAGCCAAACGCCATCCCACTTTCAAAATTCCATATGCTCTCCTTGTCTCTCGGATTCTTGAATACAAAGGAGTAAATGTCGAAGGTGAACAAACAGTAAGAACAAATAACTTAAATTGCATGCTTGACAGCACATTGATCCAACTACAAATGGTGCGTGTCAACGACATCTATGTTCACAAGGATGACGTTCCGAATCAAGGTGGTGACAATGAAGATTCTGATGAAGATATGTCTCATGCTGCTGAGTTTCCCTCTGATCAAATCCAAAGTGTTGGAACTTCCTCTACTCATCATGAAACCCGACAATCCATGGAAGACATGTTATCTGACATGAATAAGAGGATGCAGTCATTCTTCACTCTTTCTGGAGTACGGCATGAGAAAATAATTCACCGTATATCTGATGTAGATGATAAAGTGTGCCGTTTAGAAAATAGATTTGATGCACACTTTCATAGTGATGATAGTGAAGAATTTTAAATTTGTTGTTATTTCTTATATTGTAATGAATGCTTTTCTTTGAAATAAAATGTGATGTTTTGTTATTGCTTTGATTGAGGGGGAGTTTTCTTTAAGTTATACATATTTTGAGGGGGAGCTCTTATGTTTGTAATAGATGAATTATTTTTTATTCTAATCAAAATAGGGGGAGACAATATTTAAAGCCTAATTTGATTGTTTTTAAATATTATCTGGTATGTTTAATGTGTTTGTTAGTATGACAGATAAAACAGGTTATTACAAGGCTTTAAAAGATAATTTTGATCATCATAAAAAAGGGGGAGATTGTTGAACATTCAAGGACTTGATGTTGCACTTGATGGACATGAAGATTGTTGATTTTGATGATGATTCAAGAACACAAAGACCTAGAGTGTTGAAGACTTGTTTTGTATTGTAATAACTTTGTTTCAATTAGATTGAGTCTGTAATATTAGAGTTTAAGATAGCCGGTACATAGTCTGCACCTTAGAAGCTTCAAAAAGCTCAAATTTATCATCCAGGCTCGGCTTTAATCGATTAAATAGGGAAATAATCGATTAAAACAGTGAGAAAAACCATTTTCTGTATCTGCTCACTGGTTTAATCGATTAAACCACCTGTTAATCGATTAACAGGCCTGTTAATCGATTAACAACCCTTTTAATCGATTAAAACAATGTGTTTTGGGGTTCTGTTGATTTTGGCTCAGTAATAATCGATTAATACTTTATTTAATCGATTATTTCAATCAGATTTTGATTTTTAACTTCAAATCAACCCTATTTTCGAAAACCCTTTTCCCAAGAACCCTAATTCCGAAATTCCCAATTCCCAAACCCTAATTTCTCTACTTAAGCTTCTCTATGGCACTCAGAAATAAGAACAACATTTTTCATACAAAAGTTAAGTGTTGTGAGTGCCAAAGAACTGCTTGTTGCAAGAAAAAAGGGGCTTTCGGAACCTGGTGTGGGCTAGAAGCGATAAGAATCACTAAGTGGAGTTCTTAGTGGATTGTGTGTTGTGCCGTCTCTAGGGAAAGTTGTTCATCATCTCTTGTGGATTTCAAGAGAGGTGTTTTCTTATCTTTATCTTTTCATTGTAATTTGTTTGTAACAATTGTGATTATAGTGACAGCGTTAATCATCTCTTTGAGTGATTAGCAACTGGACGTAGGGTCTTTTGATCCGAACCAGTATAAATCTCCTGTGTAAGATTCTCTTCTCTTCTCTATTTACATTTACACAGTTTTTAATCGGTAAAATTTGGGGAAAATTTTGAAAACCTAATTTTTATTAAGAAACCAATTCACCCCCCCTCTTGGTTTTTGTCCGATCACGCGAACATTCTGCTGCGCGATTCTAACAAGATATTGAAGCCATTGAGAAGAATAAAACATGGAAGTTGGCTAAGCTACCTGCAAATAAAAAACCAATAGATGTGAAGTGGGTTTACAAGGGCAAGGTAAATCCACAAGGAGAGATTGTTAGGTACAAAGCCAGGTTAGTTGCAAAAAGATTCTTACAAAAGGTTGGAGTGGATTATTGTGAGGTATACGCACCTGTAGCCAGGATGGAGACCATTAGACTTGTAGTAGCTCTTGCTACTCAGTTTGTTGGACTTTACATCAATTGGATGTAAAGTCAGCTTTTCTGAATGGAAAGCTGGAAGAAGAGGTTTATGTGGTGCAACCCCCTGACTTTAAGGTTACAATACAACAAAATATAGTATACAGGTTAAGAAAAACACTCTATGGATTAAAACAAGCACCTAGAGCCTGGAATTAGAGAATATACCAGTTCATGAGTAGCATCGAGTTTAAGAAGTGCACCTGTCAACATCGTGTATATATTCAGTGCAGTAAAAAAGAAGGAAGGACTGGAAAGCTAATAGTGTGCTTGTATGTAGATGATCTATTGGTGACAGGAAGTAATGAAGCTGCAATTCGTGAATTCAAGGAGCATATGCTGAATGAGTTTGAGATGAGTGACTTGGGCAGGCTAAGCTATTTCCTTGGAATGGAGTTCACTGAAACCGAGAACGAAATTGTGATGCACCAGTCACGTTATGTAAGGGAAATGTTGAATAAGTCAGAAATGCTTGACTGTAATGCAGCAAGCACAACAGTTGAGGCAATTTGAGACTGGAAGCAGATCCAGAGGAGGATGCAGTGGATGTTACTGCCTATCATAGTCTGGTTGGAAGATTAAGATACTTGTGTAACTCACGGCCAGATGTAAGTCATAGTGTTGGTGTGGTTAGCAGGTATATGCAAAGTCCAAGGGTATCCCAATGAATGTGGTAGAACGAATTCTTAGGTATATCAAAGGAACATACAATTATGGTATCTTGTTCTCATGATTGAAAGCAGGAGCAGGAGTAAAAATTACTACATATTCTAATGCATATTGGTGTGGATAAAGTGTGATAGAAAGAGCACTGCAAAGTATCTATTTTTTCTTGGAGACTCACCAATCTCGTGGAGCTCAGTAAAAGAATCAATTGTGGCTTTGAGCTCATGTGAGGCGGAATACATAGTAGCTTGTGAAGCAATATGCCAGGCAATATGATTAAGTTTTATAATGGATGGTTTGAAGATTATACTGACAGAAAAGGTGAAACTATTGGTTGACAACAAGTCTGCAATTAATCTTGCCAAACATAATGCTTCTCATAGGAGGAGTATGCATATTAAATCAAATATCACTACATACGAGATCAAGTGAAAAATGAGAGATTGAAAATTAGTCACTACAAGTTCAGCTTACTAATATATTGACAAAAGCTCTAAAGCTTGAGAATTTCAAATTTATGCAAAAGTGTATTGGTGTGACTTTTATAGACAAAGTTTTGACTTAAAAGAGGTATGTTGACATTTTATTATTAAGCCAAAATTAGTTACTTTCAGTTTTGTCAGTTATAACAGTTATAGACAATTACCATTTCTGTTTTTGTATTTACTTTTCTCCTTTGACCATTATACAAAGGAGTGTATCATTCTTTGTTCTAGATATATAAAGAGCATAACATTATTTTTCTTATGTATTATCTCCCAAACCCATTAGTAAGTGCCACCACTTGTATATTTTCTGACATGATAAATCATTGATTTATCTGGCTTAATTAGCATGTTTACAAGATTTTTTTTGCTTTAGTTCTCATTAATTGTTAAAACCATGTTGACTGAAAGTTTTTATTTGCAGCTTTGTTGGGGAGAGTATGCATGATGATGATGGCAGCTTGTTGTTTGCCTATTATAAGGATGGTGCCACTGATCCCACGATTCTTTACTTTGCATATGCTTTGAAGGAGGTGAAATGCTAAGCCACATACCAAGCTACAGGGGGTTTCTTCTTTTTGTACGGTAGTTTTAGCATAATCTATTTTTTCTGGGAAATTCCCTTTAGTATCTTGGTTTAATAGTTTTGTTGTTATGATTAAACAATGTCACAGTTCTTCTTTTGCTAGAAAGTTAACTTACATCTTAATATATAGTTTGTTCCACATTCTTACTCAAAATATCATTTCATTGTCTTTGTTGATGGATTCGAGCGTTTGAATTACTATTCGGAGAAATAAATCATTTTTAGAAGCGATTATCATACTTTGATATCAGTACGTAGAGAAATAAATCACCTTATTTGTAAATTTTTAACATAACATCAAACAAATCTAGAAACCATATCTCGGACGAGATGGATAAGTCCAATTTCACTAAATCTATTATTTAATTTAATAAAAAATTATTTTTAATTAATATAACAATTGAATAAATTAAATAATAATTATGTTATTAGTATTATTTAACAATTTTAATTTTATGGAATAAATTAAATCTTGAATTGAATATTTAAAATTTATCACTTAACCAATAAGGGATTGAAGTAATTTGGATTAGTTAGGTTTAATATATTAATTTTTTTATTATCATATTAATATTTGTTAATAATTTAATCTATTTAAGAATTATTAAATATTATTAACAACTAAATACTTAATAATTATTAATTTTATTAATTATAAATATTAAAATAAAATTTTAATAATTATAAGGGTAAGATAAATCTAAAATGATTCACAAACCACAATATACATAACTTCAATAAAAAATAAATTCCACCGATATACTATTTTTGTATATTAAAAAAATTGTTTTAAAATATGACCTTTTTTTCCTAATAAAATCGATATTTTTGAATGTACCCATTTTATGAATACAATTACTTCATTTGATAAATCCTCGGTATCACCTCTGACTCTTTATGAATCAGTACTAAAATTGGCTCTATTTCTTTTATCTTATAATTTTTTAATTTAAAGGGCTTTAATTTTATAGTTAACAAAAAAAATATTTACTATTATTTTAAATAACAAGAAAACAAAAACATATTAAACTTGCCAAGTTTGTTGGGAGGCGAAGGCAACGATTCTACCAAAATTTTATAATTATAATTTTTATTTTAAATTTAATAATTATTTTTAAAATTTTGTAATTTATATTAATATTCATGATTATATTATTTAAATTTAGTGATTATTTTTAAATTTTTAATTTATATTAATATATTTACAATTTTGATTTTTCATTTTTTTTATATTTTTTTATATTTTTTTATTATTTATTAATAATATAGTATTTCATCAATATTATCGTTTAAAAAGTGAGGAAACAAATTGTAAATTGTGACATTAATTTGTTAATGGTAATTTAGATCCCTTTAAGTTTCTGAAGTTTATTGTGAAATTGTCTTGAAAGAGATATGTAATCTACACCATGTTGACATACATTGCATGCATCAATCCACACAATCAAAGTTGACGTATTGGCTGTGATGTATAATTAATTCATCTTCTGTGAATCTCAAGCATAACCCCGAGCCCCACAAAGTCACATATGTGAGGGTCTACTCTACATTATAAGACTCATGTTTTCAACTTCAATTATTCAAAATTTTGACGTACGTTTAGAAAGGATGGTAGAGCTACTTTTGGTGAATTAAAAAGAACAAAACAAAAAACATTAAGCTTTGCTTCAAATTAATAATCTTCCTAATCAATCCTTGGATCTCAAACCTCCCATGCTTCATGCCAAAGCAAAGAGTTATGTTCCAAAAAGAAGTGAACCCCAAGTATGACATGTTTGTTTGGCATGATTTGAAAAGGGTTTTCGTTTTTTATTTAAAAAATAACCGTATGTCACAAAGAGGCCAAACAATACACTTCGCCGGCCATTTCACACCTTTTTTTTTTTTTGAGATATAATGTCTTTATATCTGCAAGTAACATTTTGAGAGGAACAATTTTTTTAATTTGAGTAAAATTATTATGAAATATAATTTTTTGAAAAAATATGTAATATATCTATATATTTAAAACTTAAAAATTTCAAACTAATAATTAAGCTGATAAATAACTATTATTTTAAAATGTTTACCTTTTGTTCCTCTTAATTTTGGCCGGTTATTCTGAGCCATTTGTTTGGCTATTGGCATCGACCTAACCTGGCAGAAGTTCTAAAATTCAAATATTCCATTATTATTTGACAATATTCATTTTTCCTTTTCCGTATACGTTTCAAGAAAGAAATATGTAAAAAATTGTGTAAAAGTAGAATTATAAATAGTTAATAACATTAATACAATACGAATTTTATTTATTTCAGAGAAACGTATTTTAAACAACCATTTTATATTTATTTTTAGATAACTTTATCCTATTAACATGTGAATGGTAAATTTAAAACACAGCTTATACACTTTAGTTTACCGTATTTCAACGACAAAAGGGAAAAAAAACTTATGAACTAAAAAAAAGAAAAAAATTATGAAATAAAAAAATACATGTGAACAAAAAGGAAAAAAAATCTTAATTTACTGTTATTCTTTTATATTGAATTGCTTTTGAGTTAATTAACATTAATATATTATTCAATTGTGTAATATAATTTTTGAACTAATCACAAATTGAAAAAAATAAAAATAAAATGAGAAAAATAGCAAATTTTGGAAAACAAATCTTAAGGACCAATAAGATTACCTAAGTTTTAGGCTCAATAATAAATAATTAAATAACATAAAAGTAGAAGACTGTTAACTTAACATTATTTTTATTTGTTTTGCTATTTAATCAGTAAGGTACCTTTTATATTAACATGTTGCATTGCATTATTCTTCAGTGACATTCTTTTTATTCTCTTCGGTTATAGAATCAAACTTTTTATTTAAGAAAAATAAATAATAGAATCCTTAATTTTTTAATCATTTAATTTAAACTCTATAAAATACCGACTCATTTTAAAAAATTAGCATTCTAATATAAGTTCTGTTTTTAATCTTATAGAAATATTATTGAAGAACCGATCAATTACAACTTTTAGATAGGAATGGAAACGGAGCGGGCGGGCGCGGGTTTTGCCTCTCCGATCCCCGTCCTCGACTTTTTAATCATCCCCGTCCCCGTCCCCGATCCCCTGTTTGGGTTAGAAATTAAGTTTCCATCCCTGTCTTCGTTGGGTTTCGGTTCCCATCCCCGATTTATATTATTTTTAAAAAGATAATTACATTTATAATAAATTAAATTTATTATCTATTTTTTATATATAAATAAATATTTATAATTTATAATAATTATTAATTAAATATACATTTTAATTTATTATATTTATATTAAAATATGTATGTAAAAAAATATTTAATCATTTTTTATTTATAACATTATTATTATACTGTATTCAAATATTTAAATACTTATAACATTATCATTATTATTATTATAATACTCGTATTCAAACATTTGATTATATATATATATATATATATATATATATATATATATATAAAAGTTAATTCATTTTTAAGTTGTCATTTAAAAAGTATAAAATATATAGTTTATAATGAAATATTTAATAAGTTAATTATTATTCAATTAGTTCAAAGTAATAAAAGTTTAAATTATTAATTCCTTTAATCCTTTAAAATACAATTATTTTATTAAGATAAATTTTGATATATGATAAATAAGAATAATAAGATAAACAAATGACATAATAAAACTTAATAAATATAAATTATAAATAAAATAATATTAGTTATTGTTAATATTTTAGAAAAAAGATAAAGAATAAAAAATTAATTGTGTTCATCAAATTGATTGAAAAGATTGAAAAAAATAAATTGATGAGAAAGATTAAGGAAATATGAAAAACTCGTAAGGTATAAGAGAGAATAATGTAATAAATTAATTGATATAAAATATTAAAAAAGACAAAAAAATAAAAAATAGGTAGAAGAAAAATAAAAATTGGTAAAATATAAAAAAATGACCTTATATAATAGAAAAAGAAAAGAAAATATTTTTAAAATATTAATATTTTAAAATTTAAATTTAAATATAAAGTCGGGACGGGACAGTAGGGGTCGGAGTGGGATTGCATTATCCATCTCCGCCCGCCCCGATCAACTCGAGTTTTCACATCAAACTCGGGACGAGTGTGGATCAGTCCCACGCGTTTTAGACACCATATTAGTATTTAATAAAAAAAATGAAAACAAAAATTCGTGTAGCCGTTTTAATAATATTTGAAAATAACATTATATAAACATTTTATTATTTGATTGTTTATCCGTAACATTTCCAATTGACGTGTGTAGCTTTGTTTTTCTCGAAGTATATGATATCAACGACGCCTACTCCGATTCTCCCTCTCTTCAATTTCTCTCTCTTCTTCCGCCATCATTCCACTTTCTTCACTCACACACAACAGCAAGAGAAAATTAGAAGCAACAATCCCCCACCGTTTTGGGGTTTCGTTTTCGTATTTACCACCACTTTCAGATCTGAATCGCAATCCGCCATTGCCAATCCCCATTTCGCAGCGCAGATCTCGATTCTCTACTCCCTCGCCCGCAGCATTCTTCATTCCTCAATAACTCCGTTCTCCCGAATCCCACTCTTCGCCGATTTTGGTTTCCGTCCATTCACTCCCCACTTTCATGTTCTTCTTCGGATTCCAATTCTCTCCTCAACGTAAGTGTTCCGAATGCTACTGTTGTTATTTTTTTCGGTGGTTTGTTACAGCGGAGGTTTTCGAATTTGAATTCCAACGCGTGTTTGTTGCGAAGCTTGTGAAAACAGATCTTGAAAATTGGCGCCCCAAAGACGGTCGCAGCGCCACATGGGTGGCCAGATGCAGCAGAGCAATGCGGCCGCCACTGCTCTGTATGACCACGCCGGCGCCGGATCCCTCCACAGTGCGGCGGGGCCGGCCACTGATGCGGGCGACGCCGTCATGGCCCGCTGGTTACAATCCGCCGGTTTGCAGCATCTGGCCTCTCCATTGGCTTCCACTGCTATCGATCAACGCCTCCTCCCCAACCTTCTTATGCAGGTATTATTTGTCACTCTTCCATAGATAACAACTCCGTTAGGTTCCCGTTTATAAAATTACTTGTTAATTTTTCGCTTTCTTAAAGAATAGTGAATTTTTAAATTATTAATTTACCGTCTCTTCTTTTCCCTCTTCTGCAACTCCTTTCATGTTCGGGCTCTATAGAGTGTGGTAATTTGTTCGTTTGAAGTTCTGTGTGGATTATTTGGTTAGTTGAGATAATCATGGATATCTAAATTATTTGCTAATTGTTCACTCTTCTTCTATTATTTCACTAGTCTTGACTAGCGTATTCTGATGCTTTCCCTTTCTTATGTTTGCTAAAGTTATGTGTGCATTATTGTACCAGTATCTTATCTTGTGCTTGCTAGAGGAAGGGTGCATTTTTATTGAGTGTATCACAAATTCATTGTGCCTTTAGTGTTTAGGATACATTTTTGTGTTAATAAATTTTTTACAAAACTTGAGTATCTCATTTCTATTTGAAGTTTGAACAATTCTATGTTTTGTGAGACAATTTAGCGTGTACCTTTGTTCTATATTTTTTAGATACTTACATTGACTACGGTTGAACTTGAACAGGCTAAATGTTTATTTTCCTGTCTTGTTGCTTATGATTGTAGTCTATGAGATGACTTAGATGAACATGATATTGCCATAGGGTTATGGAGCGCAGTCTGCAGAAGAAAAGCAGAGGCTTTTTAAGTTAATGAGAAACCTCAATTTTAATGGGGAATCTGGGTCTGAGCCATATACGCCCACTTCCCAAAACTTAGGTGGAGTAGCTGCATCAGATGGGTTTTATTCTCCAGATTTCAGGGGAGATTTTGGAGCCGGCCTTCTGGATCTTCATGCTATGGATGATACAGAGCTTTTATCTGAGGTACGATTCACTATATGGTAGTTTCCAGTTCATTCAATTAAACCAGCAAACTGCAGTTTGATTCCTTCTCTACACATTTATGGGGATAACAAGTTTTACATGTAAAGTTGTCTCTCGTATAATCACTATAAATTTTAATGAAAAGTTTAGCAAACTTTTATTAAGGTCTTATGCAACTGTTTGTTTTGATGATGGTGAAGAACCTTGGTTGTATAAGCATCTATTTAGGCAATAGTCATGGGTTTAAATATCTGAATGAAGATGATCAAACGAGATTTAAATCGTGACTTGGGAAACTATTTTTTATCCGTGAATTACTGCAAATATATCATATTGACTGATATATGGTGTTTGATATTATAATTATAAGCTAGAAATAGACAAAACAACTTAACCGTAAGACTTGTAAAACAAAATTATTAGTTATATTTGAGTTTGTGAAGCCTTTGTTAGAAGAATGGAAACAAATCAGTGAAAATCCAAAACAGAGAGTGCATACATTAAATGAGTGGGTGACAAATAAAGTAGCACAGAGATCAATTAGGATAAGTTCAAAAGTACCCTTTCAATTCCTTGGCATTTAACAATTTAAGCTTATATGACTTTTCAATTTTTATTTCATGAGAATTGGTTACAAAAATGTAAGAAAAAAAAAAGGAATTGTTGAATCGTATCATCTTATTATATTAATGATACAAATTGATCAGATTCATACATGTATCTTAAGATTCAAAATCGTTTGAGAATTATCTAATGAAACAAATTGATAGGCACTCAAATTGTGAAGTGTAAGTGTACATGTATGTTTAAGCTTTCATTGATCTCTTTTTTCTGCAGCAATTTACTTAACTTACTTGCATTTGTAGTACAACTATCTGCACATGAATATATTTTATTGTCTCTGATTTCTTTCTTCTCTTCAGCATGTTATGTCAGAACCCTTTGAGCCATCACCCTTTATGCCTGGAGATGACTTCAATCCAATTAGCAGAAAGCAGGAAAGAGGAGAAGCAGATGCTGATGCATCAGTTTTACCTACAAATGAAAAAGAGAATAATACCAGAGAAAATAATGTAGCTAAGATTAAAGTTGTGGTATGTCAATATCTCTATAGATATAAGTAACCTAACACATTATGGGTTCATGCTTGCAATGTAAAACATGTAGACAATTACGGTTTTCCTACGCTGAGGTTGTCATAAGTTCAGAAATACTTTTGAATTCTATTTTGTGTTTTTTTTTTTTTTTTTATATATTTTAGTTTGGCACCTAGTAACAGCACTTCCACTTCTCTTTGTTATCACCATTTTTCCCAACTAGCTGAGGATTCACTAAAAAATCATCATATGGATATGAGTAAATTCATCTTTCATTATTAATTGCTACATATTAGTTCACTAAAGCATTTTGGATTTTTCATCCTTAATTTAACATGTAATTTTAATTCTGGATTCAGTGTCATTTAAGGGAAATTTATAATTATCATTGCTATTGTTTTAGGCATTTACTTTCCAATGCATGTCCTAGGTACGCAAAAGACCCTTAAATAAGAAGGAGCTTGCTAAGAAGGAAGATGACATTGTAACTGTATACGACAATGCATATTTGACAGTCCATGAACCGAAACTAAAGGTTTGTTTATGTTGGATTAAAAATCTAATTATTGATTTACCACTTATTACTATTTCAGTTCAAAGGTTGAATTATTTATGACCAATTATTGAATTATATTTTAGTTTGCTATTGTCATTTTTACTTGTTGTTCGAAGATCTAATTGTTTGTTTTGTCACGTAAAAGGTGGATTTGACAGCTTATGTGGAGAAGCATGAGTTCTGTTTTGATGCAGTTCTTGATGAGAATGTTACCAATGATGAAGTAAGGCCACCCCTTAACAAAGATTGAATTTTTTTTTTTTTGCAGTTTCTTATTTTAATTTCTTCAGCAGTTATAACATCATCAGTTTGTGTTGTTTGTTGTTGGTATTTATGAAACTGTGAGTGTTTGCCTCTGTCTTGGTCTTGATTCTTGAGTTGTTAATCTGAGGTATGGTTGCTTCTTTTGCAATAACAGGTATATCGAGTTACAGTAGAACCAATCATTCCTACGATTTTCGAGAGAACCAAAGCTACTTGTTTTGCTTACGGTCAGACAGGTAAGAAATATTTTGTTCCCTGTTCATATCATACCTGTTCCAAACAATAAGCACCATCCAATTTTACTTTCCAACCCTTTTATTTTTAAATATTTTCCATTTTTTTTTTTTGTGAGTGTGTGTAAGTAGTCTATGGTTCTTGATAATTAGTAGCCAAGCATAATGGCATGGGGATACTATACTTTTCTTTTATAGACCAATGTATTTAACATCTCAATGTTTTTCTGAGCCTCTTTATTTGTTTGTTTATTTTGTTTACTGGGTTATCATGTATTTTAGTTTTTGTGAATGGTTCTTGATTGTCTGTGGAGTTCATAATGGAAATGGGAATTCAGTTCATATGTTGTGTAGTATTGTTCCTGTATTTCTTGTGAAATATGGTCAATATATCTAATATTCCAAAATTACCGTGACACATTCATTTTGTGGAAACTGGTAAAGAGTTGTAGGCCAGAAATAATGGTAGAATTTTGCTTTGCATTGTTTTGTCATGTGTGGATAAAGCCAACATATGCCCTAGTTAGTGCTTAGGAGAGTAGGAATGTATTAAGGTGGTTTTGGACGTCCATGGTTCGGTTATTGAAATGATTCACAATAGAACATTATAGCATAATTTGATTTATTTAGTTGAGTCCACCTAGTGAGAAAAGGCTGGGTTTAATGTTGTCTGGAGTTGGAGGCTTCTGATGATCTGGGCTGGTGGAAGACGATATTAGTACTAATGATAGAGATGCTATTACACAAGTAATTGAAGGATTAAATGAGTCAGTAAACTGCTTTACTCTGGACATACTTCCCTTTTCATGCTTGTTTCACTGCTGCTTTTTTATCCTCATATAATCATATTGCAAATCCATCACTTTCATTATTGTGAGGTTAATTGTGTTTTCCTTTCAGGAAGTGGAAAAACATACACTATGCAACCATTGCCGCTCAGAGCTGCAGAAGACCTTGTTAGACAGTTGCATCAACCAGTATATCGAAACCAGAGATTTAAATTGTGGCTTAGCTACTTTGAGATATATGGTGGAAAACTTTTTGATCTTCTTAGTGACAGAAAGTAGGTACTTCTTTTATGTGTGTGTTGGTGTATTTGTCCTTCAGACATTAATTTACCTTTAGTATGAATGTTTTGTATTTGTGATCCGGGTCTTAACTAGAATAATGTGTTATAGGTGGAGTTTGTTAGATACATAATTCCATTCAAAGTAATATTTCTAGGTAAACATCATAGCATGTTTGGTTATGATTTAATATTCTTCCCAGTGATGCTTTTCAAAATTCAAATGATAGAAGAAAAAATAGAAGTTGGAAAGAAAATCACAAGTTGTGATATATGATAACTTAAACATTCCCATGGGAATCATTTATGCTAGGGAAACTATTTCTTAAGCTTCATAACAAACTTGGGAATGATATATTCCTAAGTTTGTATTCTTGGGAATAATTTCGCAAAACTTGAAACAACCACTCTAAAGTGTTTGCATCCAACAGTAATATGTATAATAGTGTTACACAGTCCACTAAGAACATGAATTGTGGACAGTGTAATCATAATGCTACTGGATTTTAGTTTAAATTATTAAATAATAATAGCATTTACTGCAAGTGTTGAGAAGAGTATTGCTCTAGAATTTTCCCAAGCAACATAAACTTCATCCTATATGAACAATGGATTTGATTTTTTTGTTCTTTTTTTAGGGTTAGGTGGATTATTGATGTTTGTCCTTACTAATATGCTTTTTTTGTGTTATTTTTACTCAGTATCATCCCCTTGCATGTTATATTTGCTTGAAAGCACAATTTGTTAATATAGATTGCTGAGTGACTGTGTTTGTTATGCTTTGAATAGAAAACTCTGCATGAGAGAAGATGGACGGCAGCAAGTGTGTATTGTAGGACTGCAGGAATTTGAAGTGTCTGATGTACAGATTGTCAAAGAATTCATTGAAAAGGGGAATGCAGCAAGAAGTACAGGGTCAACTGGTGCAAATGAGGAATCCTCCAGGTCACATGCTATCTTGCAACTGGTTGTAAAGAGGCACAACGAGATAAAAGAGAGCAAGCGGAACAATAATGATGGTAATGAAGCAAAAAGTGGGAAGGTTGTGGGGAAGATATCTTTTATTGATCTTGCTGGAAGTGAAAGAGGTGCTGATACTACTGACAATGACCGTCAGACGAGGTACTTTTTCATTAAACTTATCTTCTCTGCATAAATCAACTGCTTGCGTGGGAGCTTCTAACTAAGAAAATGTTCTATGCGCATGTTATGTTTTTTTTTTTCAAAGAACCTCATTTACCAAGTCCTTTCTTTACTAAAAATGATAAAAGCAGTAGGACATATAAACTATTCTCTAGTTGACAGTGATAAATGAAATCAGCTAGTTTTGGTTTATTTCACTATCTGATTTGTAGCTGCTACTGTACATGTGTAGGATATTGGCAACTTGTAATAAAAAGTGAAATTTCAATTTAGTATATATTCAAAGGTGCAACTAGATTTAGTATAATAAACTTAGGGACTGCTTAGTTGCAAAAGTGATTACAATAATCTGTGACTACTTTGAAATAGGAGTATAAAATGTCTGTTTTGGGTAAATTTTGGAGTGTATTAATATGATTGGATAAAAAAATAAACCATTAGTTCCTTTATGGTTTGTAAAAAATTTATTAAAAATATTAATCTGCTCATTACTCATTTGTAAACAGAAAAAATCTGGCCTATCATGGATGGATCTAATTCATCTATTTAAAAATGTTTTTCTTTTCTGGTAAAAAAAATTGTCCTGATAATAATTTTTTTTTTCAAAAGAAACCATAGCTATCATTAATTCAATATCTTGGTCCATTGGTTTAAAAATATGATAGATCTATTAATCATATTGTAACAGTTATTTATTCAATCCATTAAAATTTTATGCATATGACTGGGCAAATCAGTTGGACTCATGGGTGGTTGGATTGGAAAATGGATGCAATTGCCACATATACTTTGTAAATAAATGTCAAATTTCCAAGTGTGTTTGTTTATTTGTTGCCTAATTTCTAGTATGGTGTTATTTTCATAGAACTGCTGCAAAACATGGTTTGATAGATCATATGGTTGCCTTCTTGAATTCCTTTTTATCCTTGCTTTGTGTCTTGTAGTAACCAATCTTTCACTTTTGCACTAATTGTATCACTACGGCAGGATTGAAGGTGCTGAAATCAATAAGAGTCTTTTGGCTTTGAAGGAGTGCATCCGTGCTTTGGACAATGATCAGATCCACATTCCTTTTCGGGGAAGCAAACTTACAGAAGTGCTCCGTGACTCCTTTGTTGGAAACTCAAAAACTGTTATGATCTCTTGTATATCCCCAAATGCTGGGTCTTGTGAACACACGCTTAATACCTTGAGATATGCAGACCGGTAAGATTTTTCCTACCTTAAATTAAGACTATGTTCATAACTCATGCACGTACATGTTTTCAGATATTAACCATTTTTTTCCCATGTGAACAGAGTTAAAAGTCTATCCAAGAGTGGAAATCCTCGAAAGGACCAGGCCCCGAATCCAGTACCGCCAGTAAATAAAGAGGTTTCATCCACATCTTCACTTTCTGCTAGTATGGTTGCAGAGGATTTTAATAGTCAACGCCAAGAGGTAAAGGCAATGGACATGGGCAGAAAAGTTGTCGAAAAGGAAAGTTCTTTGTACAGCTCTTCTACTGATGTTGACAAACAACTATCAAGTTTCTCTTCTAGTTATTCATACAACGGGCGAGAGGAGAAAAACTTGGCTTCTACTCCAATGGACAGGGAAAGGTTTGAAGTAAAGAATTCTTACAGTGATTCTACCAGTCAAAAGATGAACTCTTATTCCCTAAATGTTACAGATGAAAAAGTGCAAAGGGTGTCTCCACCACGCAGAAAAGGAACTAAGGAGGAGAAATCCGAAAGATCTATAAATTGGGTTAAAAGGGATGCTAATGGTTCTAATAATTTCACCACAAGCTCCAAGCAGCAGCAGAACACAGGAAATTATAACACAGTTACCACTGGATCGGGGCAGTCTGAAACAGAATCCTCTTCTGACGTGAATATCACTGCCATGCTTGAGGTTTGTCAAATGTTTGGAGCTATCCTCTTTCAGTTTAAAAGTTTCGGGTAACACTTGAGTATCTGTTTAATTTGTACTTCTGCAGGAGGAAGAAGCATTAATTGCTGCTCATAGGAAAGAAATTGAGGATACAATGGAGATTGTTCGTGAAGTAAGTAAAATAAATTTTTCTTTGGCTTCTCGTTAACATTGTGAAATTCAATTTCTAATGCTTTTTGTTTGGTCACTTCAGGGCTTGAGTTTTTTTCATTGCACTTGATGCACAAAGCTTATGCATGTGTTCAATGTTTGATGGCACAAAATTTTTTTAGGAATGGTCCAATATAATGTTTTGCATGCTGTTGTCGTATGTACACAAGTAGCAGAGTTATACTCGTTACATGTTCGACTAACAGTAGTGGATTTAACATTTGTTCTTTGACTATTTTGTTATTTAAATATCTCACCTACTTGACCTGTCCCCGCCTCCATTTTGTTTATAGCTGTTTTATCTGATTCTTAGTAATGTCAGGAAAAAAATCACAAGTTTGTTCTTGTAAACTAATTGTTTGTTGGAGCTCATAGTTGTTTTGGTTTCGGTTATCAGGAAATGAAACTATTAGCAGAAGTGGACCAGCCTGGAAGTCTTATTGACAATTACGTAACTCAGTTGAGTTTTGTGCTTTCTCGCAAAGCAGCTAGTCTCGTCACTCTTCAAGCTCGCCTCGCAAGATTCCAACATCGACTAAAAGAACAAGAGATACTGAGTAGAAAAAGAGTACCCCGTTAAGAGACTCGGTTTCTCTTGATCACTGATCATTTGTATCTTCTTCAAGTAATTTGCTCTCGCAATTGTTGGCAATGTAGTTCTAAAGGCTTTTATTCATTTATAAAAAAAAAATGGATCGTTTGTTGGGTATTCAAATGAGATGTGCTCAAATGTATATTTGTCCCATGTGTGATATTATCTCCATCTTAATGTCTTTTCAAATTGGATTTAACTGTAAATTATTTTTTATTTTTATTCTACAGTCTATTACTGCCATATCAAAAAGCACAATTCATTTGTTATAAATTTAGAGACTTTCATGCATTTTACTTAATTGAAGAGTGGGCGAGTTAAAACGTTAAAAAAAGTGGTCCATAACTTCTTAAAATATTATTACAACGTGAGTGTACGTAATTACATGATTAATTTTAGCTTGTTTTTATTTAGGACAAGATGATCTTTTATGGAAAATTGGTTTTGGTTAATTGTTTTAACCTTGATTGTTGACATCTAAGGTGACACTCATTATTTAATTGATGACAAACATTATTTCCTCCTTCAAAATGATATTCTTTTAAAATAATTGTCGATTTAAGTTTTTAAGCTATTTTTTAACAATACCTTGTGTGTGTGTGGTTTTAATTGTTTCTAATATGATATATGTGTTATCTTGTAAGTTTGTAAACCTAATGTTTTTTCCAGTGGTACATTCATTAGCCTATTAACCTATCTAACTATAAGCCTATTGACATATTTAAAGTATTAATATGAGGTATTATTTTTAAACTAACTACATAACCAAACCAAATTTCAAAAATTTTAGGTTAAACTTTAGTTGTAATGATGTATATATATCTAACTCATTTATTTATATCCCTAACTCCAATCATATTTTCATGACTAATGACTAGAGAAGACAAATGCTTCTATAATTTTTCAATTTCTCTTAATATTTTTTATTTTATCTTTAATTGTTAGTTTGGAGAATTACAGGGAAATAAAAGGATTTTTTTATTGAATAACCTATTTAAATTCAAAGCATTCCTAAAATAATATTTGGTTGATAAATGAAACAGAAAAAGTACAAGAGATTTAATTTATAATTGTTGTATATAAAAAGTAATAGATTGCTACAATTAGTACTTTCAGCACCTTAGTTAAGAAATTAAAAATAATAAAACATTATGATTTTTTTTTTGTAGTCATCCCAATGGGTGTTCTAACTTATTCAATAATTTGTGTTTCCTATAAAATTCAACGTCATTTTGTCCCAACTTACTCAATATATCCACAAAAAGGTAGAAATAAAATGATTCCAATGTGATATTTTACATTGTCAATTAGTCCTTTAAAAAAGAGTTTTGGCATAATCCTGCATCCCTTTCTTTTCCTGTTCTCGCTGTCAAATTCAAGATTTGTTTCACATGCTGAGATGAGAAAGAGACACTTGTCAGCGTCTTTTGTGGATCTTTGTATGACCAAGATTCACATTCTCCCTTCACTCTTCAATAATTATCCCCTCACATCTTGATTTTATAAAATTAATTTATAAACATTTATTCACTATAACTTTATTATATTTTTAATGAATAAACACCTTTTAAATTATTTTTAAATATGAAAATAGTATAATAGTCTAGTAAAAATATTTTTAATATTATTTAAAAAAAAACTTGTTTAACTTTATATAAAAAATTATATAATATACCATATTTATATTCAAAGTAAGATCTAAAACATATATTTTTCTCTTTCATTTCGTGATAAAACCAGAAGAAAATTAAGAAATATATATCCAAATTGTCGAAACACATTGCAAATATTTCAATATATTGATGAAATCAAGAAATGGAACCTATGTTATGATTAGCAATTACATGGTAATATAAAATTTTGTAGCCTCTCAATATATAATTTTTTTCTCTAGAGTAAAAAACTTCAGGATAATTAAAATTGCTTGTACATTCTTTTAATAGTTTAATATGCACGGTAAAATTTTACCCCATTATCTAGTGAGAAATTGCTTAAAAAAACTAGTAAGAAATTATGATAAATATATGATTCTAATCACTATAGAGTTAATATATTAATCATAAATATCTAAATTTCTTATTAGATGTTTACTTAAAAAGTTTATAAAATTCACTACTGTTTCACATTTAATTCATGTAAAGGTTAAATAATAATTCTTATTTGTCTTTTAGGGTTCCAACTTTTATCGAGTCCCTAATTTCACAACGTAAATTAAACTACTAATTCTTTTTTGTAAACTATCAGAATACGATATTCTCTACCAAAGAGTCGTTAGTTTGAGTGCCACTGTATTTGATTCCCGTAAAAAATTATAATTAAAACGAAAAACATTATATAAAAAATAGTCCACAAAGATTTGGACGAAAATCGGTTTTTAATACTTGTAAACAGTAGATGTATTAGTTAGAATTGATTTAAAAAAATTAGAGAAAATTGTATTGAAATTAGTTTTTTATTGAAAAATGTAAAAAAAAAAATGTTATACAATAAATTACAATTTCGTAAACAAGGTATTAAATGAAAAATACGTATATCTGTTATCTTAAAAATCAATATTTTTAATAAATAGGACAGTTGGTAAAAGAAAAAATTAGGAATGGATATAAAATTATTTGTTATTACACTTTGTAAATTTTTTTCTGATTCTCTTAATTTTGAAATACGATTTGTGTGGAATTAGTTATGCAATAGAAATTGTGTCCACGTTCCAATTTCTAGGATCTACCATTAAGGAGATCTTGTGTGCCAATCGAAATTGGAAACACACTTTAGAATGAGACAAACCCTAATATTCTCTTTTCCTTTTTGTTTAATACTATTATTGCTTTCTCAAAATTGAATTCATGATCAACACATAATATAGAACAAAATAATGAAATTAGTTTGTGAGTTGTAGTTATAAGTAAAATGTAAATTTAGAAACAAGACGATAGTATGTGTAAAAGGGACCACTCGTTGAACATGGCGTGAAGGCTTCCTGCAAAAGCAAGTGCAGTGCAGAACAGAGTGTTTACATTACATTCAATTCTTTTATCTTTCATTTTAATTTTATATAAAAAAAATAAAACAATAAATAGTTTTTTTTTTTAATTTATAAATATGATTTTGCAAGCCAAAAACTCAGCCTCTCAAGAACACACACAAAATCAAGAGGAAGCCACCGACAACAGAATATCTCTTCCTCAAATTCAAATTCACTCTCTCCATATACCCTTTTCTTTTATCTCTTTTCGCTTCCCAAACACTTTTTTCACTCAGATCCTCAACTCCTTTCAAATTCAAACAATCCCCACAGATAACAAGCTCCAAGAGCAAAACAAAAAACAGAGCTGTTCCAAAGAAACATTATTAACTTCACCCAGATTTAAATCCAAAAATAAAGCAATTAAAGGTTGTACATAGTGAAATAAAATCGCACCATGACTTGAATTCACTTCCTTAATCCCATTTAATTTGATAGATTCAATTGAAAAAGAATAGGTGCATACATGTACGTACATATACAACATCAACATCGTCATAGTTCTTGCAAAGACAAAAGCGGGGAGAGATCTTGAAATGGAGCTTTTTTATTATTATTATTTGACTTGATTTTCAGTCATCGGAATCATCGCCGCGGAAGATGGAGACTCGGTTGTAGAGGAGGAGGAGAATGAGGAGGAGGAAAAGTGCGACGCCGACGGGAGAGCCGCTGAGCCGGTGAATGGTGTCGGGCTCGCCGGTGGAGAAGAGGGCGGAGACGAAGGAGCCGCGGTCGGAGGAGAGGAACTGGATGGTGAGAAGGAGAAGGATGGGGAGAAGGAGGAGGCCAAATGGGCTTAGAAGCTCAGAGATTGCTTCGGTTATGGCCTCGCCCTGATCCCCAAGGAGAAAGGGCACTATGACCACGATTGCCACCACCACCGCCAGGAGGATTCCGTGCGGCGCACCTCCACCACCACCACCACCACCGTGTTGTCTTTCCGGTATCATAACGGGGAATCAAGAATGGATTTTATGTGAAGGGTTTGTAGAAGAGGTTTGTGAATGATATAGGTAGCAGCAGGTAGTAGGTGTTGTGTTTGAAAAAAAGTGTGCTTGGTTTGGGAACACAAGCATAAACAAGTCAAATTCATAACTTTACTTTTTTTCTTTTTTAATTTAATTTATTAACTTAAACCAGTTTTCAATATTTAATTATATATTTTATCATCCAGGAAAGCTCGCTCAACCTTCTCTCTTTATGCACCTTCACACTAAATTATTATATCTTAAGTGGGAAATAAGAATTAATTTTTTTAATGATTTAAAATAATATTGAATATAATAAAAATGGTTTACAAATAAAAATAAATATTTTATTATAAATTTATTGATCAATGTTTAAGAATTATTTTCTATTGATTTTTAGATTTAAAAAAGTTGGGCCGACGGGACCTTAGTCTTTAGGACCAGGCCATAAATGTAAACTTAACACAGAGGACTTTCTATGGGTAACTAGACAGATAAAAAAAATTGAAAAATAATATATATATATATATATATATATATATATATTTTTTTTTTTCTAAAATACCATTTTATATTACTAAATAAGGTAATTAAGTTTGCGATAATTAGAAGTATGTAAAGTAGTCAACCTAACAAGTTACATTTATGATTCAGAAGTTTTAATTTAAATTGAATTTAAGTTGAGTTTGAATTTGAAATAAAATACTGGCATCAAACTTCAGAGACTCAATTAATTTCCAACCCTACAAAAATGTTTCAAATATGTATTAGCAAAAATATTTGAAGAGTTTAGTATATATTTTCAGTTGACAGAAATATGTGTTTTTCTTTATAGATAGGTTGCAAGATGAGTCCGTAGATAAATTAAAGTTACATGTGTGAGGATGTCCTTATTCTAAGATTTCAACTTTCATATTTTTCTTTATATCATTCATTGCGACAATAGTGGGTGTCTTTGATGGGAGTGTAAATTTTCAATTTCAAATATTCTAATTCTAAGTAAGAATTATGATTCTAACGTATATATTATTTACAAGGGTTAAAAGATTTATTTGGATATGTAATATATTTTTTTCTTTTTTTTATGGTTTTCTTTATTATATAGAATGTGTCTAATACAACATTTTTTTTTCTATTAAAGTTACTTATTTTTTTTATTCAAGAAAATAGTTTTTAATCAAATTTTATTATAACTTTTAGGTAGTATATTAAAATATTATAATACCTTAATGAAATAAGAATAAAGACAATTGATTTAATAATTCTACACTAATTCTTATAATTTTAATATATTTATAATGTAATAATTATTATATTAGAAACTTTTACATTATTTTATAAATTAGATTAGTCAATATTAGATTAAAATAATCTAACATTCTTCCTTCCAATTGACTTATGTAAAAACTTGAATATTCAACATTAAATTTTAAGTACAAATCATATATTGAACTTAACAAATTATTATCATTCATTAACTAAAATTAGAATATTAGATCATAATAGTTGCAAATTATCTAACAATAAGATTTCTTTCATGTATCACAAATTATCTAACTTAACTTTAATGAAAATATAATATATCTTTAATCTTCTTTTAAAGATACATTCTCTTATTTCACTAAATAAAACAATAATATACCAAGTAATGTTAATGAAAGAACAAATAGAAACATCTTTAATAGAAATCATAAGTGTCAAACAATATAAACATTATAACCATAATGTATATATGTATACACCAAACTACATTATTGATAAGGATTTATCCATTATACTCATTCTTTCAATGTGGTCAATAAATGTCTTGGTGGTAAACCTTTAATTAACTAATCCGTTATCATTAAGTTTGTACCAATATGCTCAGTTGATACCTTTTACTTATGTACTTCCTCTTTAACTCATACATACTTCAAATCTATGTGTTTTGCTTCTTTCGAGTATTTATCATTCTTTGAAAAGAAAACAATTACAACATTAGCACAATAAATCTTCATTGGTTTGACTATACGATTAATAATACCAAACCCCAGAGTAAAGTTCTGCAATCATAATGCTTTATTGGTATCAAAAAATGTTACAAATTCGTCTTCTATGGTAGAAATTGCAATCAAGGATTGTTTTACACTTTTCTATGATACGCTCCTCCAGCCAAAAGGAAGATGTATCCACACATCCAGAAAAATCTGAATCCGAATAATCAATCACTTCATGGTGATTTGACATTCTATACGTGAACATGTAATCCTTCGTGTCTTGTAAATATCTAAGAACTTTTTTTTACAACTTTCCAATGTTTTATTCCAGGATTGATTTGATATCGACCCAACATTCTTACGACAAAGCTAATGTTTAGTCAAGTTAGAATCGCGCAGCAGAATGATCGCGTGGTCGGACAAAAACCAAGAGGGGGGGTGAATTAGTTTCTTAACAAAAATTAGGTTTTCAAAATTTTCCCCAAATTTTACCGATTAAAAACTGTGTAAATGTAAATAGAGAAGAGAAGAAATCTTACACAGGAGATTTATACTGGTTCGGATCAAAAGACCTTACGTCCAGTTGTTAATCACTCAAACAGAGGATTAACGTTGTCACTATAATCAAGTTGTTACAAACAAATTACAATGAAAAAGATAAAGATAAGAAAACACCTCTCTTGAAATCCACAAGAGATGATGAACAGCTTTCCCTAGAGACGGCACAACACACAATCCACTAAGAACTCCACTTAGTGATTCTTATCGCTTCTAGCCCACACCAGGTTCTAAAAGCCCCTTTTTCTTGCAACAAACAGTTCTCTGGCATTCACAGCACTTAAATTTTGTATGAAAAAGGTTGTTCTACTTTTCTGAGTGCCATAGAGAAACTTAAGTAGAGAAATTAGGGTTTGGGAATTGGAAATTTCGGAATTAGGGTTCTTGGAAATAAGGTTTTCGAAAATAGGGTTGATTTGAAGTTAAAAATCAAAATCTGACTGAAATAATCGATTAAATGAAGTGTTAATCGATTATTACAGAGCCAAAATCAACAGAACCCCAAAACTCTCTATTTTAATCGATTAAAAGGGCTGTTAATCGATTAACAGGCCTGTTAATCGATTAACAGGTGTGTTAATCGATTAAACCAGTGAGCAGATATAGAAAATGGTTTTTCTCACTGTTTTAATCGATTATTTCACTATTTAATCGATTAAAGCCGAGGCTGGTTGATAAATTTGAGCTTTTTGAAACATCTAAGGTGCAGACTATGTTCCAGCTATCTCAAACTCTAATATTACAGACTCAATCTAATCAAAACAGAGTTATTACAATACAAAACAAGTCTTCAATACTCTAAGTCTTTGTGTTCTTGAATCATCATCAAAATCAACAATCTTCATGTCCATCAAGTGCAACATCAAGTCCTTGAATGTTCAACAATATCCCCCTTTTTTATGATGATCAAAATTATCTTTTTAAAACCTTGTAATAACCTGTTTTATCTGTCATACTAACAAACACATTAAACATACCAGATAATATACCAGATAATATTTAAAAACAATCATATTAGGCTTTAAATATTTTCTCCCCCTATTTTGATTAGAATAAAAAATAATTCTTCTATAACAATTATAAGAGCTTCCCCTCAAAATATGCATAACTTAGAGAAAGCTCCCCCTCAATCATAGCAATAACAAAACACCATATTTTATTTCAGAGATAAGCAATCATTACAATATTAGAAATAACAATAAATTTAAAATTCTTCACTATCATCACTATGAAAGTGTGCATCAAATCTATTTTCTAAACGACATACTTTATCATCTACATCAGATATACGATGAATTATTTCCTCATGCCGTACTCCAGAAAGAGTGAAGAATGACTGCATTCTCTGATTCATGTCAGATAACATGTCTTCCATGGATTGTCGGGTTTCATGATGAGTAGAGAAAGTTCCAACACTTTGGATTTGATCAGAGGGAAACTCAGCAGCAGGAGGCATATCTTCATCAGAATCTTCATTGTCACCACCTTGATTTGGAACGTCATCCTTGTGAACATAAGTGTCGTTGACACGCACCATTTGTAGTTGGATCAATGTGTTGTCAAGCATGCGATTCAAGTTATTTGTTCTTATTGTTTGTTCACCTTTGACATTTACTCCTTTGTATTCAAGAATTCGAGAGACAAGGAGAGCATATGGAATTTTGAAGGTGGGATGGCGTTTGGCTTTTAACATAGTCATGGTGACAAGAACTCCCCAATCTAAGGACTCATTATTCATTATGGCATGAATAATACGAAGATCAATTGAAGAACATTGAGCATGATTTGTAGCCCGGGGACAAAGGATCCAGACAAGTAGATGTAAAATCATGCGTTCCTCTTTCTTCATAGGTCCAGCAAGAAGAAGACGCCCAATCTCCATGGAGAGATTTCGCAGAAAAGAACGGTAAGCTAAGAACCTGTCAAAATCATCTAACTCACCATAAATGTTAATAGCATCTTCTCTAATTGGAAAGTGAGCGACGTTTTCCTAAATATCATCGTCAAGAATAATTGTGACACCCTTTACTCTAGAGGTAGCAATTTGATCTCTAAATTTAAATCTTGAGTAAAATACCCTAACTAAGTCAGGATAATAAGTACCTTGCATTTGGATGAAGGGAAGAACTCCTTGAATTTCAAGAAGGTTGGGAAAGTTGAATCCCCTATTGATGAATTGCTCACCAATAAGAAACTTGGGAGAAATAATAGCACGTTCCTTCCAGTAGGTCAGAAATTCTTGTTGGCCATCTGCATCAGAGATCCATCCTTCTACAGAATTAGGACGGGGACGAGATGAGGGTGCAGATCTTCTTCTAGTAGGGATTTTAGCACGAGAAGATGAGGTCATTGAAAGATTAGAAGAGTAGCAAGAAGATTTAGAAAGCTAAGTGTAGTGAGAAGAGAGCAAGATTGCTAGAATAAGGCAAGAAAGCTTGATTTCAAGAG